GTGGATGGGAGGACAGGATGTAAAGAGAAATATCTGACTCTAAAACAAAAAGGGAGCTAACCAGCAGAATGGTTGTCAATGTGTGCATTAAACTTCCAGAGTGAAACTGATTTGTATTTCAGCAGTTCAGAAACCCTTTCTTTGGAGAATGTAGAAACAGTCATTTCCAGCCCTATAGTGGCATATAAGAGTTAGCAGTAAGAATGTGTTTAAAACACAGAAGACCCGCTTCTTACAAACTGATCGGCTGTGTGTTGGTTTCTTTTAGGAAGTTGCAACTATGTTTAGATTCAGCCAGTTAGAAACAGGTTTCTTCTAAAAGCTAGGTTTGGACATTCCAGAGTGGATGGGAGTACAGGATGTAAAGAGAAATATCTGGCTCCAATACAAAAACGGAGCTATCCAGCAGAATGGTTGTCAATGTGTGCATTTAACTTACAGAGTTACACTGATTTGTATTTCAGCAGTTCAGAAGCCCTTTCTTTGGAGAAGGTAGCAACAGTCATTTCCAGCCCTATAGTGGCATTTAAGCGTTAACAGTAGGAATGCGTTTAAAACATAAACTACCTAAAACAAACTATGAACTCTCTCCTAATGTATAAGATGCAATGGTTGCAAGTATTTTAAACATTAATTTAGTATTAACTGGCCTTTTCATACAAACACTTACCTTGTGAACCCATGATAAACAGCGTAATCTTCAGTACTGCATCCACATCTATTTTGAGTAAAGACAAATACTATTTTGCTGAAGAAGAATGTTGACCATACCTGAGGAGCCATCATGTAGGGCAAGCATGAGGGTTGTTCTAAAATAACAAAGAAATAACTCCACTCAAGAATTTTAATAAAGACATTTCTAAGCAACTAGTCTGATACACTTTATACATTTAATATCGTGCCTGTCAATGTAAACATAATAACCATTTACATGTACTAGCTTGTGTCTATAAGCATCTTTGGTGCTCGTGCTCATCTTTGTAAATTATCACCAAGGCTAAAAGCAAGGAAGCCTCTTGTTCCACTGGGTTATGACATCATCTAAGTTGCTGTCTTACAGTCCTCTGATGGCCGAGAAACTGTGCTGAGGTCACTGATCTAAAGTAGGCAAAGATTGAAATGAAAATTTCCCCATTGCATTCCTAGTCTGATATATTGTCATTCATATCGGCTAGCGGTCAGATAAGAGCTATCTGCAGCCTGAAAACGATAAATAATAATCATGGCAATACTAGTAGTCATAAACTAAAAGTCTACACTTTAAAAATTCATAAAACTAATACAAATATCTTTAGCTACTATAAGATTACCAGACCTAAAACATCAGATTACAAATAACGAACACTCTGTGTCGGAAGATGAGCCCTTCTATATGTTCTTTATGTTGCTCTGTCCAAATATTTGCTTTTATACCTGATTATTTGTGTCATTTTTCACTATATGCCAAGAATTATGTTCATCTTATTAATATTTCTGATGAGTGACTCTTGCCACTCTAGAACACTCAGGTTTTTATTTTACAAAAGAACTACCGTACCATCTCAGCCTATCAACGGCATGTACATTTGCTTGATTTTTCACTAAGAATTCTACCATTTGCTGTCTCTTGCAAATTATAACAAGAAGTGGTGTGTTTCTGTCCTATAAAACGTCAGAAAAAATTAGTAATTCACAAAATTATGTATTTCTCAAATGAACCGTAAGTCTTCTCTGAGATGCTTTGAACTTCAACATACAATACAGAAAGGAAGTAAACGAAAAGCAGGCCCTTCCCTCTCACTCCCCCAGGCTTTCCGATGTGCTGCTCTTTGCCTTGTAAACATCCCTCCTCTGCCTTCCTGCATTAACCGCGGTCATTGCCAAAACACCTTCCAAACATTTACCAGTCCCAAGAATCCTTGCTTTGATCACCGCACTTAGCATGGTGTATTGTAATCACTTCATTGCTTCCAACTGAAACCAAGAGCTTCTTCAGGGCAAGGGCTGTATCTTTGATCTTTATAGGCCCAAAGAAAAACGAAAACATAGTAGGAAATACTTTAAGTTTTTTACAGAAATTAATAATCTAAATTATTATCTTTAGAGCACTGTTTCTTATAGTCCAAATAATATTCGCTTATTGTACCCCAAGAGAAAGACTCCATGACAATCTGCTCGTGAGAAGTATTGCAAAACTCTATTTTATATCCAATCATTAAGAAATCCTTTGAAATTTACCTAATCCCCATTTGACAATACTTTTGTGGCAAATATCAACATTTAAGAAATTAAGAGTTTCAGAGATACAGTTTCCAGAGCTTCCGAATACATTTGGAGGTTTCCTCTGGGTGGTACAAACTTGCTTGATTCACTTCTATCAACGATGTTAGGATCCCAGATGTCAATGTTAGGCACTCCTGCTCCAAAGGGGTTACTAAGAAAATGACCTCTGAATTAAAAGTGATTGGCTTCAGATATACTTATTTTCCATATTATTAAATAGTCCATGGGATTTTTTTTAAATACAAGAGAACAGATTTTCATTTTAACTGTTAGAAAGCTCAGTATGTTTTCTGTAAGAGAGAGATTTGAAAAGCTTAAAAATAAATATTAAGAAAACCAAAGCTCAATAAGAAATTCCATTCTCAATTATAATGGTAATCCTGGGACCCTACTGCAACTATACATTTTAAATCCATTTTTATTGGTTTCCATTTAAATGGCAATTTAAATTCTTTTTAGGTAGAATATAAATAAAAAAATATAATGGCTTATCAATAAAAGTTCTCATACTGATCCATATGGGT